TTTTTTTTTTTTTACTTGTTCAAGACATGCGCCAAGAAAGGTTTTTTGTTTTTTTTCACACAAACGAAACTTGATCGAAACTCGAGTGAACTTTTAACATCGGATCTCATTCAACAATGTGTACGAAGAGAGAAGATAATCTTTCAACAAATTAAACTTGTTTTTCTTTAGATATACCATACATGTATTACCTAATGCGGCAAGCGTATAAAGAAATTGAAAAATGTGTAATTAAACCTTCGTGACCAGACCTCAAGAATGACGACTAGTTGACTGGGTCTGTGAGACCTACCGCGACTTTAAGAGAGTACTAGATATCGACTATAGAGACCCGTAAATCGACGTTTTTTAGAAACTTAAATTTCTCTAATTTCTAATTTTGTGTTTACTGCATCACATGAAAAATGCTTCTACAGAAGCACATAAATATAAAAAAAACTACATAGTGCTTTTGAAAATGAGTATATAATGCTCTTTTGAACTCTTTTTTTTTATTCATAATGATATAACCTATCCTATTCTGTCATCACAAATATTCTTTTTTCTCATCATTAGACGTTCCAACAATAATCTAAGTGTCTCTCTTATGTTCTTTTTTATCGTACTTAGTGCTCTAATTCGATGTAAATACATACAGAAGCTTAGAAATAATTCTACATACATGAATACATGGTGAGGTTATAGAAAAAAACTGTACAAAAAAAAATGTATGCTGAATTTTGACATTCTAAAGAACAAGCGCACTTTCTTAGCACAATTTACTTATTTTTGGAGAAGCATTTTCGATTTAATGCAATAAATACGACACAAAGTCAAATATTACAACGTCGATTTACAGGTCTCTATAGTCGATTGTCCAGTACCCTCTTAAGATTGAATATCTTAGAGAAAAATCAATATTTTTTTGTACTCAATATTTTGTTATTTTTTCAATTTTTTTTTTTTTTTTTTTAATCAAAAGTTTGAACAAATCTGCGTCGATAAAAAAAAGTAAATTGAAAAAATCTCTAATAGTTTCGAAGATATAAGCGTTTAAAAATATCTAATTTTTTCTAGAAACGCCGATGCGCAATTTTTGAATGAGTCTTGAAGACACATGTCTGGCCTTGAAGGATTAGAATATATAATTTGCTTTTTTATAACATCCCAGAATACCTTTGCAATCTGTCTTTAAGACATTTGGTAAAGCACATTCTCTTGACGATAACATGTAAGGAATGTATTTCTCCAGTGATACATCTTAACTAGAAATATACTTAATGCATACATTACATTTAGAATTTTAACCGCCATATTAAATCTTGTTTGCTGCTAAGTCACTTGGTAATTTAAACAAGGTAAAATTTTTGGTCAATGACAGCCATACGCTGGATGTTTTTCGCGTATTTTAGTTGTACACATATATACATATACATATACATATACATATACATATACATATATATATATATATATATATATATATACACAATATATGTTCGTGTAAATTTTTACACGTGAGTTTTGAATTAAAATTACAATTCTTAAATTCATATAGGATGCTATTTTGCATCACGTATATGAGAGACTCCGAATATCCCATAACTAATTATTAAAATATTGCGAAAAAACATCTCGGCCAGGAGTCGAATCTAGAATCTCCGGTTTTCCGTGCCGTCGCCTTTCCAATTCGCCGAATTTCTGACCGAGGTGTTTTTTTCGCAATATTTTAATAATTAGTCAGCGGTGTATTCGTCGTCTCTCATATACATGATGCAAAATAGCATCCTATATGAATTTAAGAATTGTAATTTCAATTCGAAACTCATAAAAAAATTTACGCAAACATATATATATATATATATATACATATATACGTACTAAAACATGCGACAAACATCCAGCGTGGCTCTCATTGATCAAAAATTTCACGTTGTTTAAATTTCAAGAGCCTTTAAACTCTTTATCACTTGCTAATGTTCGTTTGTCTTCGCGTACTGCTAGGTTAAAATACGTAAATTAGTTGAATATGTATAAATCATTAGATTTTAGAAGATTTACACATCGGATAGATTTATGTTTTCCGGAGATGATATCGAATTACGTAATTCGAAGAATATTGTGTGTACATAAATCCTGGATTTTAATAACACGGATAACGCCATTGATACTGGGTCAGTTAGGGTTAAGTATGCAAATCGCAAGCCTTGAGAAAATACGTATAAATGATAATGTAATATGATAAACCACACACAGCGACGCATTCAACTGGTTCGAAATTCATTTCTTGACGTATGTTGTACAGAGGTATTTTTGTTTTGCGTATATTTGTTGTCTCGCTAAGTTTTTTTCGCTTCAACTTGATATTTAATTTCACCTACTTTAATTTCACTTAATTCTCGCATTGAATCGAGCTGGGATTAGCATTTTTTTGTTAGCTAAATAATTTCAAACAAAAATACGATGAATAAAGAACAAGTCAGTATGTAATGAAAGGGCAATGAGAAATGTTAATACGTGCGTATGTTGATGCAAGTTCATGACTTTTGTAATTTATATACAGTGATAAAATGAAAATAAAATATTTAGCGCGCAAATATTCCCAAGCTGAACCTCACAAATAATCAAATCCGTGTTCAAATTTGTGTTGCAAATAATTTTAAGTAATGTATGTTTTATTGCTCGCACGTGAAAACGTGTGGTCATTATTTCTCTCTTTTGTTGCCAAGAAAAAAATATCCTTCGGCAATTAATTCAAATAATTGACGTAAATATGTAATTTATTTCGGAGACTCTTCTAGAGAGAATTTCCGTGAGATTTATTGACACACACATGGAAAACATCGACAATTCGCGCGAACAATTTAATATCTCACTTTTAATTCTTACGTTTAAATTAACTCTCCTGTTCTGCACGTGCTTTCTCTGTTGAGAAACCGGCGGATATATAAAAGGTCTTGGCATAAATGTGCGATACATTAGAGTTAATTGATACGTGATACCATTTTGCCCTTTCCCTCTCACCTTGTCTCTTTCTGTCACTCGACCGTGAAGTTTTAATAAGTTTCCTTTTCTTTGTCTCAATCGCAAAACAATGCGAGCAGTTAAATACAGAAGCGCCTTCGGCGAACACTAAATTCGACGGAAGGAAATGACAAGTCCGCGCGTGATTAAAAATTGCGACACCTTATACTACTGCTTTTCTTCGTGACTCTCACTCGCGACTATGATTATTGCCGACATTATATATCCATTACATGTATCATAGATCTCATGAAACAATTCGCACACCGTACTTTCTCCACAGGAGGAAACATTTATCACAAGCGCATCAGAGTGTCGCAGTTTACAAATTTTCAGTCTATTCGACGCGTAATTTCTTACTTTCTCTTTTAATTATTATATATATATATATGTATATATATACATACATATATATATGTAACATAT